GTGTTATTTAGTATCAGTCCCTGTGCCAGCCTCTGGGTGTTATTTAGTATCAGTCCCTGTGCCAGTCTCTGGGTGTTATTTAGTATCAGTCCCTGTGCCAGTCTCTGGGTGTTATTTAGTATCAGTCTGTGTGCCAGTCTCTGGGTGTTATTTAGTATCAGTCCCTGTGCCAGTCTCTGGGTGTTATTTAGTATCAGTCCCTGTGCCAGTGTCTGGGTGTTATTTAGTATCAGTTCCTGTGCCAGTCTCTGGGTGTTATTTAGTATCAGTCCCTGTGCCAGTGTCTGGGTGTTATTTAGTATCAGTCCCTGTGCCAGTCTCTGGGTGTTATTTAGTATCAGTCTCTGGGTGTTATTTAGTATCAGTCTGTGTGCCAGTCTCTGGGTGTTATTTAGTATCAGTCCCTGTGCCAGTCTCTGGGTGTTATTTAGTATCAGTCCCTGTGCCAGTCTCTGGGTGTTATTTAGTATCAGTCCCTGTGCCAGTCTCTGTGCCAGTCAGTGGCTGTTGCTCTGTATATCAGGCCCTGTTTAGTTTTGAAATACTGCCTTCCTATTGGCTGGTGTGCTGGGTTGGAATGCCTGCGCATGCGCACTGTTGGCTGTGGAAGCCGCTCCCGCCCTGCTCACTCCTGGCTCGGTGACAGCGGGTGGTGTCGGACAGTGTGCTCCTCACTCCGGGGTCGGTAAGAGCGGACAGTGTGCTCCAGTCACAGAGTCAGAGTGTGTTCCCGGTTCCCAGGTTAGTGCATGCAATGTTCTCACTGTCAATATAGCTGGCTGAGCTTGCTAGGAGTTGCAGTCCAGTAGCTCGCGGACTGAGTATAGTGTCAGTGGGAGCGAAAGTCACAAAATCTCGCCGTTTCACTGGTCATTCACTAAACTCCGAATTCTTGAAATCCAATAACCTGATTCAGGCGGAAATAGCTGATTTGGGAATATTCACCAGATTTACTATGGTGCCAAGTCTTGCCTACATAATAAATAATTATAAAAGTACTGGGCTGGCTCTACCAGTGGGTTGCTTAATGGGATTTGTATTTTCCTCCTCTCAGATAAAGTAATTTCTGTCAGTTGCTTTTCATGCTGGCTGTGCATGGTGAGAGCTGGAGAGCACAACTCTCACCCCATGACTATGTTATGAGTATTGCACACTCCTTACTATAATTTAAAGGAACACTCAAGGCACCATAACAACTTCAGTTGGATTGCCAAGAGGTCCATGGTGCTTAGCTTTAAGAAGTTAAACTATTCATGCATGGTTTACCCCCAAAGTCTCCTCTCCATCGCTGTTTCTTATTGCCCCTTCTACAACCACTTTGTCAAAATCTTCAGAATGGCGCCGCAAATTGTCTTAGAGTGGTCCCTTGATACTGTAAGCCTTCAGTAGCTCCCTATTCATAAAAAAAAAGGCTTGAAAATGGTACCTTGTTGGGATGTTTAATGCATGACAGTCTGTGCCGTCAACTGGCGTTCTAGCCCTGCGCTGCATAATTGCATAGTCAGTCATGCAGTCCTCAAGGGTTTAAAAATTATGGTAAAAGAAGATGTGATTTTGTGAACATTTATACACTGCTTCCTGCCTGGCTGTTAAGATTCTACACTCCCCCCCAAAACACTTTTAAGAACTATTACAGGTACTGAATTGACAACTGACTTTGCAAAGTGTAACGGAGCTCCTTGTACTCCGACCGAGTACCCTCCGTTGACAGATGCTCCTAGCGCTTCCTGAGGACTCCAAGCACTGCAGCAGACACCGCAACCACCGCAGACTCCACAACTGCCGTATCTTGACTGGAGTCTCGCCGTCTTCCTTCCACCCTGGATCAGCTTCTGTCCTCCAGGACTGTGTGGGAAAGAACTCTTCCTTCCACCCTGTATGAACCTCCAGCATCCAGGACTGTGTGGTGAAGACCCCTCCTCCAAGGAGAGTGTGTGAGGAACAAGCTCTTAAAAGAGCTAAGTGACTCAAGCTCAGGGGAGCATGCAGAGCATAGCAATCCCCAGTGTGATTATAACAGCTCCCTCCAATAATGAGACAAGGCTACGTTTAGAGGAATCAAGAAGAACTGTCAAACCTTTATTCCCTTGGGACCAGCCAATACAGTCACCACAATAACATTGTTGTGAAACCTCAATAAAATCACAAACAGTCAAACCATATCAAGAAACACACAGTGACTTATCACAACACAATGGCACATTTTTAAAGGGGTGGGGGGGAGACAATATTTAACAGTAAATATCTCACTTGCCTGCAGAATTAGCAATATGCAAATCTACCCGAATATGCAAATGAACCAGTCTTGCAATTCAGGTAGTGCATATTGCTGTTGCTACCAACAGAGGGCACTAGACCAGCTCCATAGCCAAACCCACCTAGTTGGTAGCAAACCTCAGCAATACAAGAGAGCAGGCAATACATTACACAGTACATACACACACACTATAAACAATTACATTACACACACCCTGCACCTATAATGGGTACAGGGTGACTAAAACATAAGATAAACAAAGCAGCCTACATAAATAGTCCGTCTGAAGGTAGACTAGGGGCTTTAAAGCCATGTACATGAAAGAGTCATAGTCACAGGGGAGGAGGCTGGCAAGTAGGCCTCTCCAGGACCAAGTGGCGAAGGGCACTTCGTCACACAAAGTTTAGGACAAAGTAGCTGAGCTGGAGTTAGACCAACATGCTTACAATACCTTTTATGTGTATTGTGTTAGGGAATCCATTGATCTACTTTTTCCTGAATTGTAGTTGTTTTAACCCCTTAAGGACCAAAGCAATTTTTGCATTTTTGTGTGTGTGTTAAACCAGTGACTATGTTTCTCATTTATTGCACAGACTAGCAGAAATAATATACTTTATTATATTTTTTTTATAAAGGACAAAAAGGGGTTTAATGTGGTGTGACAAATATATATAACCTTGAAAAAGACCCGCAGAGGTCGAAACGTCGGTTTTAGGTTTTGCACCTTGAATAAATAAAACTACATTTTTTTTCACCAAGTCCTGCGAGTGCATCCTATACTTTCAATTTGGTTATATATGGAACGCAATATGGATGGCACCCAGGCAGGTATTCAATTGTATTGTTAAGGAGAGTGCCAAGCTACTATTTATTTTTATTTATTTATTTATATATATATACATATACATATATATATGTATATATATATGTATTAAGGCCTTTTGGCCTGTAATTGTGGGAGGGGCGTATGACTCACCTTCTCCCTACTTAAGGGACACCCCTTACCTGACTCCATACCGTTCGAGGTCAGCGCTGCACGAGAATCCACTTCCGGTTCACGTACGGCGCCATCTTGCTTTTCAAAAAACCCGCGGTTTTCGTTTGGTGTAGCTGTGTCCAGGAATCCTTACAGGTTTTCCGCCCGTTCAGCCACGCACATACCCGGTGTTTTCGTCGCAGATTAAGTCCACAGGACTGCAAAATCGTAAGTCCGTCGCCCGGATCATTTCCCACGGCGTCACGATTTTAAAACGGCCTTACTTTACGGCCACACGCTTTACGGCCAAGTCACAGGCATATTAACCCCTTTGCTGCCGGCATGATCGCGGTATACTCTATGGGCTGACTGACGGTTCGGTTTTTCTTGTATTAAGCAAACTTCTTGTTTTCTGCAATATCAGTATCTATAGTTGGTTTCATGTTATTACTTGTATTTATTTATGCAAATTACGAAATCCTTGCATATGACTGGAGCAAATCCCCCTGTTAACTACTTTATAAATAAGTATTTATTTAGGTTATGTTTCAATCTATTAGCAGATATTGCATTATTAAGTTATATTGAAATTCTTCATGTTATATACATATATTTATGGAGTTATGCTTAAACAAGCTTTTACATTTTTATAGATATCTCATGTAGGACTTAGAAACGTAATTTCTAAACATAATTTATAACCTATCATACCATGTACTCACGTTTCTTACATGGCACTTATATATTCTGACTTTTTCTTTGTGTACTCAAACGACATACCAAGTACACAAGAACACGGTCTCAAAAAATCTCACAAACTTTCGGGTTGAATCACACGTCTTGATTCAACCACTCATACGTCACGTTGTTTCCTATTTTGGGATAATTTCTCAAATTTTTTTGTACCTCGTACTTACCTCTTTTCATGGCTTACGTTTACGGCCTAAAATAGACTGTATTGTTTTAAATCCTGCACCATATTATACTACAAACACTAGCATTACTAAATCATACGCATTAATCTTGTCACCATAGAGACATATCATACACACCCTAAGCATGGTTACCATACCACATAACAGGGCCAGTCGGGCCAATACCATTCATAAAATTCCCCTTCCATATGTACTGCTAGAACTCATCACAGCTAACTAGTCTAAATTGGTATCATAGGATCCAATTCTCACACTATCATATCTGGTTTTCTATCCCTTTAGGTTTTTCCAGTTTTTCTTTACCTATCGCTTATCAAACTCATACATACTACCAGGTACGTTAAGCCTGCTCACGCCATACATCACATATGGTTCCTTCTCTACTTAGGACATAGAGTACTGGCAAATTTTAGGGGTTATAGGCCCAAATAGGTATCCCCCCTCCGGGCATTCTGCCTATCGTTTAGTGGTCCGCGAGGCCAACACCCCGCCTCAACGTTTCGGAGGTAATGCCCCCCGGGCCACACGTGAGTTAGCCGCCTCGCAATTATAGAGAGGGTGCCACCTGTCACTCCCTTCTCCTGTTTTCTTGTATTGTCACCGAGAGGCCTACGAACTCCTGCCACTACGTCGGGTGGCCTCAAATAACCCCTCGCGCCAACGCATAGATAGAGCCTCTCATAGCCACTTGGCAACTAGCAGGGCCTCACCTGTCACCAAAGAACAAGATTAATTTTTCGCCTCATCCGGCATAATTAGCCTGCCAGTACATCCCCTGGGGGTTTTTACGCTAACCATATACTTTGTAATCTAGTATGTCTCAAGAAGGGGTAGAGGATTTCTCCATCCCGAGGACTCCGGCTAGAACAAACACCCCATCACAGGGGGAAGATACGGCTAGTCCAGCATCTTTCAGATCATGGACTATCCCTCGCATCACTAGCGAACTCAGGAGACGACAAATCCCTTTTCCAGCAACAGCAAGGAAAGCGGAACTTTACAAATTACTACACACCTCAACCGATAACATGGACGCTGGGGAAGGGTCGAGCCAGTCCAACCCAGGAAACATACATGACATGCTCACGTCCCTCATGGCATCCATGAGCAAGGTCAATTCTAGGCTGGAGAAACTTGAATCGGTCACTACAGCCCTCACTATGGCTGGACCGGCCACGGCAATTCCCCCATCAGTGGTGGAGTCGCAATCAGTTTCTCCAGCTATCACCTCGGATGACCAAGAGGTTTACCCTGCCCACATGATTCCTGAGCACCTCAGGAGAGATATCCTGGAAGGTAAAGATGTCAATCTGGCCTCACTACTAATTGCCTCCCAGGATATAGTGGAACATAAGACCTACGCTTATGGCGATATTTCTGTGGTGGTCAAATCTAGGGATGCACGATTAAATAGGAAGCTAACCATTCCAGAATTTGTATTAGCTTTTGGCATTTATCGGGATGTGATCTGTACGGTATATCCCCACAGACGTGAGGAGTTTGACTTATATATGCACAGGCTGGTTGATCTGGGCAACAAATATGGTGGGTCAGCTTTCTATGACTACCATAGATCCTTTTCTGCCAAAGTGTCTGGCGCCTTCTCACAGTACGGGACAAGGTCCAACTGGAGTAAGATTGATACGATCATTTTTTGCAGGCACTTTGCAGGTCTAAGAGCACCGGCCTGTGCACACTGCTCCTCCATGGCTCATACTGCCAATTTTTGTCCGACCACTGCGAACGAACCTACCACCTCGCAGGGCACTAGCTCCGCTGTTTCGGCAGAGAGAACACCCAAAGACAAACTGGGTCGACCTATCAAGTTTTTGGGGAAATCCCAAATATGTAATAATTTCAATGTCGGTGCATGTAATTACAGCGGTTGTCGGTTATTGCATATATGTTCAAAATGTTTTAGGGCACATGCGAAAACCATGTGTCCAAATAAAATGTACCCTAAGCAATACTTAACTGAGATAAATATTTCTGTACTCACGGCATTACTGTCACAACATCCATCTAGACATTTGGTAGACTTCATCATCACTGGTCTATCACAAGGATTCCATACTGGTCTCATACACATGCCTTCAGGAATCCTTGAATGTCCTAATTTACAATCTGCACAACAAAACCCTACAGCGGTTAGCACACTCATAGCCAAAGAAGTGGCAGAGGGCTTCCTATTGGGACCCTTTCAGTCCCCTCCTTTTTCCACATGGCGGACAAACCCCATCGGTATTGTCACAGGGAAATCTTCCCACAAACAAAGACTTATCATCGATCTGTCTGCACCTCACACCTCTGCCTCACCTAGTCTGAACTCCCTTATCCCCTCTGAGGAATTTTCACTTCAATACTCCACCATAGATCACGCCATTACAGCTATCATGCAGGCAGGGGTCGGAGCATGGCTCAGCAAGACTGACATTACAAATGCCTTCACATTATTGCCTATCCACCCTACACTATGGCACCTGCATGGCATTAAGTGGGCCGGGCACTACTACTTTTTCTCACGCCTAACGTTTGGTTCAAAAAGTAGTCCGGCCATTTTCGACGTATTCGCCGAAACATTATGCTGGTTATTATTAAATGTAGCCAGATGCCCTACAGTTATACACTACCTGGATGATTTCTTACTGATCGAAGAGAACATTTCCCCTCCCAGTAGCCTCATAGAAACCATCAGTCTTTTTAAACAGGTGGGTGTTCCAGTCTCCCCCACCAAAACTGAAGGACCAGATACAGTCATCACCTTTCTGGGAATCATGCTAGACTCAGCCACCATGCAAGCCAGCCTGCCACGCACCAAGATAGAGAACATTCTCACCAACATTAACCTCTACATACACCTCGGTAATTGCAATCGCAAAGAATTGCAGTCTCTACTTGGGTCACTGAACTTTGCCATGCGCATTATACCTCAAGGCCGGGCTTTCATCTCACGGCTCCTAACCATGTTCCCACTGTTTAGACATGATGCACACAGGTTACCACTGGATACCCAAGCCACGGCAGACCTACTTATGTGGAGAAACTTTTTGACCACCTGGAATGGGAAAAGCATGTTTCTCCCTAAATTGTCTGACTCCTCACCTACCATCTGGTCAGACGCGGCGTCTACCACAGGTTTTGCAGCAATTTACGGGAATGAATGGCTTTGGGGTAGCTGGCCTGCAGAGGTACAGGACCTGGAAGGTTTTTCCACTACCTCAGCTCTATTTGAGATATATCCCATTGTGGCAGCTGCCGTGACATGGGGGCATCTATGGGCAGGTTCGTCAGTACGTTGCCACTCAGACAACCAAGCTACCTGCCACATCATAAACAAAGGCCGATCCAAGTCACTGACTATTATGAGGTTCTTGAGGAAACTCACCTGGCTGGCTGCATGCCATAATTTCTTCTTGTTTTGTGTTCATGTCCCAGGTGTTTGTAACACGGCTGCTGACAATTTGTCTCGTTTCAATTTTCAGGCTTTTCGGCAAATACTTCCGTCAGCCGCACGTACAGCCACGACCACTCCACCTTTCCACCAGCTAGTCATGGACTAGAAGCTATTATGCAACATAGCAGGACATTGGCACAATTAGCTCTGTCCACCAATACCCGGAGAACATATGACAGGGCTTTCCTTCTATTTAAAAGATTCCTGTCTCTGCACAACATCACACAACCTTTCATCATGACATCTTTGTTAGGTTTTGCTTCTTTTTGCCACCTTAAACTTAAATTATCTTACAACACAATCAAGCTATATCTGACAGGCATACAACATCACATGCTAACATTACAACCAAACAACACAAGTTTCATGTCCTCATACCAGATCAAAAACATCCTTAGAGGTATCCAGAGATCCGAACCCCCACGTACCGCGCAAAGGCTACCTATAGACTTCAATATTTTCAAGGATTTATCCAGCCTACTAGATTTAAAACACTTTGCGAACAACACAAACCTTGTTATAAAAACCGCCATATACGTGGCTTTTTCTTGAGACCAAGAGAATTTACCGCCATCAACACATCCCAGTCCACTCACATTCTGCTTCATTCACACTTAACGAAACACATGGATTACTATATTTTAGCTCTGCATCACTCCAAAACCAATCAACACGCACCCCCGGTAGAGGTTAGATACTATCCTACCCACAACGTGTGGTGCCCCGTCACATTACTGGACACATATACTCAGCATTTCAAAGCATCACCATCTCAACCACTTTTCTGTCTACAAGGTTCGGTACTCACTACCACCACCTTCATGACCCACGTCAGGTCCCTACTTACACAACTAGGCCTAAGATCAGCTAACTATTCGGGCCACTCCTTCCGCATAGGGGCGGCCTCCACAGCGTCCAGTGCAAACATTCCAGTACATGTTATCAAGTCACTAGGGCGCTGGAAGTCTTCTGCATACTCTAGATACATACCTAACCCGGTACAAGAAGTTAGAAATGCCTTTCAAGATATGTCTGGTTGAAGTATGTATATTGCTCGTTTCGTAATAAAGTATATTTTCTACTTTTGCCCTCTTTATTTGCAGGCCTACCTCATCGTCGGTTCCGGCACACCACAACCGACTTGCTCTTTCATACCATCCCACACTTATTAGTGTTTGTATCTTCTGTACTATCATGAGCCCTTAACACAAGTATTAAGGCCTTTTGGCCTGTAATTGTGGGAGGGGCGTATGACTCACCTTCTCCCTACTTAAGGGACACCCCTTACCTGGCTCCATACCGTTCGAGGTCAGCGCTGCATCACCCTCCCACCCACTCCTCTTTTATTAACTCCTTTTCTCATACATTTCTTATTGGTGGGCCCTCTTTATTTGCAGGCCTACCTCATCGTCGGTTCCGGCACACCACAACCGACTTGCTCTTTCATACCATCCCACACTTATCAGTGTTTGTATCTTCTGTACTATCATGAGCCCTTAACACAAATATATATATATATATATATATATATATACACACATTCAAAAAACAAACACTTTTCTGGAAATAATACTGTTTGCATAATTAATGCTGCTTAGACGGGCACTATAGGCACCCATGTCCCTCCAATTTCAACCCTGCAAGTAAAAACACTGCTGTTTTGCCAGAACGACAGGGTTTTATTTGCAGGGTTAACCTGCCTTTAGTGGCTGTCATACTGACAGCCACTAGAGGTGCCTCAGCGAAACCGTAAAATTCTACTATTTATATTAGATGGTCTCAGAGCGGCATTTTGTACACTAGCCTCTCAATGTTTTTCTATGAGAAATCTTTAGAATAGCATCGATCTCTGTGATATTAGCCAAGGAAGTGGGACCAGCTGAGGACATGGCAGCTCAGCGTGGAATGTAAGGTACACTAAGTCTCGAGGAGTTAACTCACTAATAGTTGAAGAACTTATAAGTAAAACTTGCTGCTTTGATGCAATCTAAAATTATGTTGGTCTTCTATGCAGTAGGGCATTATTTTGAACATGTAACAAATCTTTAATAATATAATAATCAGTTTAATTGACTTTCTACTTTGTTTTACAGGACATGAATAACTTTGAAGAGGAGCTGACGTGTTCCGTCTGCTATAATATATTCGAAGATCCTAGAATCCTGCCATGTTCACATACCTTTTGTAGGAGCTGTCTTGAAAGTGTTATAAATTCTCTAGACAGCTTCCTGTGGAGACTATCCTTGGTCCGTCTCAAATGCCCATCCTGCAGGAATGTAACTGAGCTCTCCCCTGCAGGGGTTAATGCTCTCCCCATAAATTTTGCTCTAAAGTCAATTATTGAAAAATATAAAACCGAGGAACAGCACAGTATGGCAACCTGTCCGGACCACCATAGGCAACCACTGAATGTGTTTTGTCTTAAAGATAGAAAGCTGGTATGCGGCCAATGCTTAACAGTAGGACAGCACCAAGGGCATCCTATTGATGACCCAGAGAGTGCTTATATAAAAGAGCGAGAAACAGCTTCAAAATTCCTGGCAGCGTTAAGTGATAAAAGCTTTACAGGTGTTACGGCAGTAATACAAACTTTAGAGGAGCAGATGACGCATTGTAAGAGTGTTGTTCAGGAAGATAAGAGAGAGGTGCTGAGTTTTTTTGAAGGGATAAGTGACATTTTAGAGCAAAAAAAACAGGGTCTGCTTGCGGCTCTTAATAATGTCAACA